CTGTAAGAAATGCAAATGTTTTCTCATCTTGAAACAGGGAAACCTATTCAGGGACAGAAGCAATAGAAGAAACCACAAACACACACACACACACAAAATTTCAACTTTTACTATGTAAAAGTGTAAAATTAAGAGGCAAAAAAGGACAAACTGAACAGAAAAGCAAACAAAAAAAATCTGATTTAAAACAAAGGCTCTCAGATCAATAAGAAGGAAAAACGAATACCCTCGTAGAAGAACAGGGAAGGAGCATAAACCACAATTCACAAGAGAAGAAATACGAATGGCCAATTATATAACATATTGAAAGTGATTTAACTGTATTTGAAATCAGATAAATGCGAAAGAAGATAAATAACCCTGAAACTTATCTAGCCGACAAAACGTCAGTTAAAAAATAACTCCCAGTGTAGGTGAAAGTGAGGCAAGAATGGATACTCTTGTACTGACAGGGGTGAACACCCATGACTCTCCTAGAGAGGGGAGGCAGGCACGCTGAGGAAACAATCAGAGCCAGGCAAAAAAACGTATGAGGATGCTCTTGGCTGCATCATTCAAGAAGCAGAAAAGCAGAGAAAGAATTAACCACTGGCAAGATTAAATAAATTATGGCACAGAACATATAATACGCAGCTGTTAAACAGCAAATTGTGTATGAATGCGCCCCCGGGAAACGCTCCTCCTGTGCGTTAAGAGAAAAATAGCAGGACGTGAAGCCCCAGGGAGTAGGGATACAAATTGTGTGAAACTGTTCTTACACGATTCACACTCACACAAACTTAGATACATAAATACATGTCTTGGAGAAAAAGAAGACTGGAAATATGAACACCAAACATTTAACAGTAGCTGTCTCTCAGTGTTGGGATGTTTACTTTTTTTTTCTTCATTTTTTCCATTATTGGATGTTTTTCAAATCTCCATGAACATGTATTCCTTTTACAATACTTAGAACACACAAAAACCTAATGATCAGGCTTAGCTCTCCTGAGAATACTTTTTACCTCTCATTTAAGTTTATTCTTAATAAACAGAGGGGAAGTCACTGAAGCCAGCTAACTCTGGCTGGGCACCCGCGGTGTACAACCCCCCGGAAGGCCTGACGGCCGCCCGCCTCCTGCCCTCTCTGACCCGGCCCTTCCCGCTTAATGTGGGGGGAAGCTGCCGAGTGGAAAAGTCAACTAAGGGCTAATTTTTAAGCAGCACCAGGGAGCAACTGCGCAGGTTTATTTCATTCAAGAATGAACACACTGAAGAGGCTTCCTTCAGGACACCAGTCAACACACACGCCGACAGACAGAAAACAATATCCTTCTGTGTTTTAGGGGAAAGCGGAAAGATTAATTTGAAGTGTCAAGACAAGGCTCCTCAGGGGTTGAAGGAATTACAGCAGAATCAGGAAGAAACACAGAGAACATCCTTAGAGGCATGCCCTGACATGCCACTGTCACATGTCATACACAGTCACGTGTTCAGTCAACCAAGTCTGGGGACGTTGGTAGTCTTGAAGAGGATTTCCTAAGAGGGACCCAGGGAAGGGGGAGACAGTGAGAGAAGGGGGTGATCCCGTGGGGTCAGCGGAGCTCAGCTGAGGGAAGGTCAGAGACTTGCATGGGAACTTGATCTCTAACTAGGGGACACCATGGCTACTTTCAGAGTGACACACACAGGAGCGAAAAGCAGTGCTTCAAGAGGCAAACGCAACTCGAGCTGTAGCAGAAGCTATTACTATGCAGAATTACTGACAAGTTAATTTGCCGTGTTCCAGACTGTGGCTTTTGGTGCCAGGCTTGTGTTATAGCAGAGGCAGCTACAAATTCTACCCAGTGTGCTTGGATGGAAAGAAACCGCCCTGGAAGCTTCATGGCCCATGTTCAGAGGAAGCAAGGGGTGTCTCAAGGACAGAGAAGCAGAGGCCATTTGAGGAAGCAGTCACTCTGACAAAATGACGCCCAGGGGCTGGGGAAGGGAAACTGACAAACGCACAGGTCACAGCCAGGAGCCAGCTGGTTGATTACAGCAGAACAGAAATGACCACTCCTAACCTAGCAACTATAACACAGTCATATTCCTTTAAATAGCTCACAATGTTCTTACCTCACTGTTTCTTTTAAGCATAAATACCAGGTTACCATTTCCACCCTATAAAACAAACAAAAATGTGCATTAAAAAAAAAGAAGATTGTGAGGCAAAAATTCTACTGAGTGTGTGTCTAAGTTACGCTGTGACTTCCCATTTTTGTTCTTTCCTAAGGCTGTGGGGTAGTGGAGACTTGAGGCGGAATGGTTACTGAAGCCCTGCAGAGTCCAGGTTGGGGTGGGACACAGAGACAAGCCTCCGAATGAACCTGGCCCAGCCCGGGGCCGGAGCTGTGCGTGTAAACATGGTGTCCGAAGCCACAGAGGCCCAACAGTCAAGAACGTGGGGATCTTAATTGTACTATTTGCTTCAAGATATACTTTCCTCTTAAAACAAAGCAGCAAATAAAAACAGCAAAACAGCATTCAAAACAAAATCAAACTGGACAAACTTCAAAGACTATGAACTCAGAGGGAGGTGCCACGGAGGACCTGGTGTATTTTAGACAGAAATACCTTTTTCAGGCCGCTGTCCGATTCTGTCCTCCTAAGGTCTTGGGCGTCCTCGCCCTCTTCCTTCTCACTTCCTAAACAAACAAAACAAACAAACAAGGTTTCTATTTTTTGTTTTTTTAAAGTTGTGATACAGATTAGCCAAGAAAATACGATATACACAGCTTAGGGACAGAATAGTTCTGAATCCCGTTAATGCCAAAAAAAGAGGACAGTCGCTTGGTGGCAACAAAGTGATTACTAATAATTTTACTGATGCAGAAGAACAAGAAGCAGAAAGGAAAAAGTAAGTGTTATTACTCCTTTGGTTATAGCTTAACTGAGACCCCAGGAAAATACAGTTTATTACAGAAAATGAACTAGACACTGAAAGAGGTTCCTAAGTGTTTGAGCAGCGAGAGACTTACCAGGATCTCACGAAAACACTGACTGACTGACTGGGACAGAAGAGATGGCGTTACTGGAGAACAGGTCATCTTCAGCTGGGATGGTTAAGGACTGCCCATAAAGCCCATGAGTTCAAAATCACTGACCTTTGGAAGCATTCATCTGATGGCTGTCGAATCCTCCAAAGGTCTCTGCTCTCCGGGGCAAGGAAACAGGGCCGACCACGCCTTCTTGCTCAACAGGGCTGCTGACAGCCTGCCCAAGTGTGCCTCCCAGGCTTCCACTCACCAAACCCTGAAGGATCTCCACTGGAAGAAAGGAAACACACAAAACTGACACCTCTTTCAATGGGAAAAAGAAAACCTCATGGTAATACATTATACATATAGGGAACTTGATCAGAAAATTCCAAAGGGACTACGTGACTTCCTTTGCTCAGAGAAAGCTCTTGGCTCAAGAAACATGTTTTAGTTGGAAATGCAGAGATGATACCTTCAGCCTTATTTACCTGAGATCTAGGAAATCTGAAAAGGCACAGGGAAGGCAGAATAATTTACTGAAAGGAGCATGGCTCATGGAGTCAGATCCAAAGCAGCCAAAAGGAGTTCTCTAGAAAGTAAGGTGGGCCAATCTGAGAACTGGGGAGGGCTTCTGCCCCTCCCATGTTGAGGTTAGGGGCTAGAGCAGTCTAAACATCTGAATTCTCAAATCCGAGCAGCTGGGGGTCCCCTCTAGGGAGGAGGTGCTGACAGTGGAATAAAAACTGAGCAAGAAGAAACAAAGCTTCTTCTGTACAGCACAGGGAACTATGTTCAGTATCTTGTAATAACTTTTAATGAAAAAGAATATGAAAATGAAAAAAAAATCAGTAATATTATTTTGTATTAAATTTAGGATTACCTTTTGCTAGCTGTGATGATCTCTGTATGTTTTCTTTCAAGATGTTTAACACATTTAAAAGAATCTGGTGTACTAGAGAAAGTGAGAGGTGAATTGATTTTTATTTGAAATGGTTAATTAATATTAGACTTGTGACTTTGACTTAAAAAGGTTTAAGAGAATCTTGCTGAGTTTCTAAGAGCATTTAAATGTATAAGTAAGTGGTCCTGACCTGATCCACTGTGTTACTGCTTCTGCTTTATGTGATTCATAGGAGTTGCTTAGGTGGACAGGAACATTTTGTTCGTTAGGTTTATAGTATTGGCCTGGGAGGCTTTTGAAGAACTTGTGAAAGTCAGGTATTTTTAATTTGTAAATGTAGATTAAAATTCTTGAGGGAATTTAAATAAATCTGAGGTTAATTGTTTACAGTAACTTAATCTATTAAATGTGAGCTAGTAAACATCAAACAAACCAAAACAACAAAAACTCACCGAGCAGGAGACAAGCAACAGAGATGAAGGAAAAAGGAGGTCCAGGTGGAATAAGGGAGGAAACAGAGGCAGGGAATCTTCAAAGACAAACCATCATATTTTCTAAATATTTTCTAAAAACGCTGGATGAAAACAACAGAACAGTCTAGTGAAGAGAAAACGGCTATCTGAGCCTAAAAATTTAGGAAATTTATTTCACATAAAAATGAGCAACAGAAAACCAACAAAGTCAAATTATGAAAATGAGAGCAAGTACACCCAACAGAAAATGACTTAAGAAAACAGAAGGAGGAATATTTAAACATTAAAAAGATAAAGATACAAAGAGTATTATGGAAAAGCAACGAGTACTGAAGACAGGCGAAGATAATCCAACACACGGATGGGGGAGTTCCTGAGGAAGAAAATCAAAGCAAGGAAACAGGGAAAACACTGAAAGGTGTGATCTGAGAGTACATCTCTGAAATGTGAAAAACCCGTCATGTCCCTCCAGTCATTCTGAATGTCTGAAGCTTATTCTTTAGTAGGTATCTCAGAAAAGGCACATGATTGGAGGGACATGACATAAAAACTGGTGGTGGTCCTTGCAGAATTAAGGCGATGGGGTCAGGGCTAAAAAGGAGGCAGCGCCGTGTATGATGGTTGTAAGTTGACAGTGTAGACACAGTACAACTGTTAAAAAAGGGGGTATGAGATAGCTTATAAAAATCATATTTAGTGATAGTCGTATTAGTACTGTAATTCTGATGCATATTAAGGTAGGACAAAGCCAGGGTGAAAACACAGGATATTCTATTTCAATGATGTATCCTTGAGAACAAGGATTCAAAACGTGGACGAGAGGAGATACAGATGTAATACAGAAGAGGTTAAGTAAAAACACTGTAGCCCACAATTTGCATAAAACACGTACCTATATGAATTCGTTGCCACACACACATATATTTCCCCCCCAAGCTGTCCACTGAAAAGGCCCAACCTAGTAACAACAAAAACCCAAGTAGCAGTGACCATCCCTAGTACTTAGACTGTGGTCTTAAAACATCATTTCCCACTGAAAGAAGCCAGAGGATCTAGGAAAACGGCTGATTCCAGATATGGGCAGATCATCACAAGACGGGACCAGATCATCTTAATATACGAAGAGAAAAGACGCTCTCAACAACTGCTGGGGTCACACTGAAAGGACTCAGAGGCCGAACAGAGGCACTCACTGGCAAAGAGAGGACCTTTTGCGCTTTTCATAAGGGTAAGAATCGCAACGACTTGAAAGCCCATCAGATACATTTAAATTCATGAGTCTATACTATTTTAAAAGCACTAATCACCTTCAGACGATGACCATAAAATCCACAAAAGAGAAACATACAGGTCAAAAAGCTCTGGTTATTCAAGGGTAAGTTTTGTGGAAAAGAAAGGGATGGTGGGGTGGGTGTAAATTAAGACTCAATTTACTATAAATTAAGACTCTTAAAAGGCATATCAACAACCCTATGCCATGACTAAACCACAGTGTGTATGGATAGGCACTTGGCCATAAAGCCATAAAGAAACCTAAGTGATTACTGTAAGTCACAATACCTGTTCCCTTTTGAAGGGAGGGAGAGAGCTTTGATGGGGACAGGACATTGGAAGGGCTCTTAGGGGTCTGGCCACATTTTATTTCTTGACCTGGTAGTAGTTACCAGGATGCTCACCTGATAAAAATTTGCTAAAGCAAAGTATGTTCTGGCCTCTTTTCTCTATTCGTGCCTTGCTTTACAACAATAATGGAAAAAGTGGTAGATACAATTGGTGTCAATTACCCTCATTTATTGCACTTTTCATTAAAGGTCCTCCTTTGAGAGCCTCCTCTGTGTTGGAGCGGAAGAGGATTCTAGAGCTGTGAGTTGGGGAGCCATCCTCTGGCATGGGGCTGCTGCACTCAGTCATGTCCCGGAAAATCATCTCTTTCTCTTCCAGGAGGAGCAGGATCTGCTGGTCCTTTTGTTGAAGTTGTTCTGCAGGTGGACAGACAACAGGTCTGGTGACTCGACTGCTTGGTGTGAGGAGACGACTAAGACACGAGCACCACCTTGTGGCAGTGCAAGGGAGGACAGGGAACACCTCCTTTCTTCTTCATCACAGGCAGTATCCAGTTTTTAATCTGGAATTTCTACCTGGAAGACTATCCAGGGTCTCTCCAGGCAAACGTCAGAATTTCTGATACAAGTCTGAACTCTGTTCCACTCTCCTGCCTCCTGTTCATTTCTCAACCCATACACTCTTCTGTGGCTTTTGCCCATCACTCTGCACCTACTCCTTCCACGGTCACTCTTCACTACTGAATCTGATGATGTCTTTTATCTCATCTTCTCCAGCACAGATGACCCCTCCCTCCTTCTGAAACTGCCCACACCCACACCCCCCAACACATTCCCTTTGAGGACACTGCTGGTTCTCTCCTTCCTACCACTCCTTCCCTGGGCACTTTACAGACCTGCCCTCTGCAGGGAGTATCAGGGTTCCCCCCACCCCAGGATCCACCTCGGCTCCATCTTGGGCTGCCTTCTACACCTGACACACCTTCCTCTCAGGGACCTTATTCACTCCCATGGCCTCAGTTACTCCCTATGTGTTGATACACAGAAAGCATCCCAAGTCCCATCCACTTTTCTGAGCACCAGATCTTGAGTCCCACTTTCAAGTGGCCATCTCCACTTGGATGCCTTGTTCTCCACAGGTCAGAAACCTCTGTTCTCCATTCCTGCTGCCCCACTGACTCCCTATAGCCTCTCATCTCTTCCTCAGTCCACATCAGCTTCATCCCCTCATTGCCCAAGCTGGACACCAGGGAGACGTTTTGTCTCCACCTGCCCCACCATCCATGAAGGTTCCTTATTTCTTACCCACATCCATCCCCCCTCCAACCCAATTCTCACCAGTACTTTTTCAAGAATCTCCCAAC